ATTATAAACCTATTACAGAACAGTAGCAATACTATCTAGTTGATTGTGTTAGTTGGGTACCTAGGCTAACTTGGTTGGACTTACCAACAAGTTGAACTTACGAACATGCTCTCAGAATGGAGCCCATTCATTATGTTGGAGACTTCCTGTAATGTCTATTCAGTAGCTGTCACATGATTGGATATGATACATGGAGATCTCTTTGCTTACTTCAGACACTTCCATTGCTTTGCAGTTTGCCCAGACTTAAACGATTGAATCTTTGACTATCTGAAATCAACAACCACTTAACCATAAATGTCCCTCTTCTCTAAACCAATGGAATCCTTTCCCGTTGCCTCAGTCTCTTCTGCTTTGCCAGGTTTCCAAGCCCACTATCATTTTCCAGGTTCCCAGGTCCACTATCATTTACCTGGTTACCTTGCTCTGGCATCCTCTAGTTCACAGTAGCCCTCCCCTTAGAATGTCGCATCCAGAGAAATGCATGTGTCCTATGCCAAGGGCTCTTGCTTCCTCTGAATGGGGTTTCACTTAACACTGCTGTCTCTTTTATAGCAAACTTGTCTAGGACTATTGAAAACATTCTATGATCTGGACACTCCAAACAGTGACATAGTCTTCTGTCTTCTGAGGAATTTCCTAATTTAGGGGATTTTCCTGTGGGTAACATAATGTATTTTGTATTAGATTCTGAAATCCAGTTAAAATGAAGAAAGCATTTTAAATGTTTCTGAGGATTCAGTGGCCACAAAAGCTAATCCTGCTTCTGCGTGCATGCTAAGTCACGTCAGTTGTGTCTGACTCTTTGCAACCTCGTAGACCATAACCCACCAGGTTCCACTGTCCATGGGATTCTCCAGGCAAGAATACTGGAGTGGGTTACCACGCCCTCCTGCAGGGAATCTTCCTAACCCAGGGATTAAATCCACGTCTCTTTCTTCTCCTGCACTTACAGGCAGGTTCTTTAACACTAGTGCCATGTAGGAAGCCCAGTCTTGCTTTTAAGACAGTGGAAATTATCGCAACCTTGATATTCTTTTATTAAAATGACCCCCCCATTTAAACAGTTGCACAGTTTTTTTTTAAATGAAGTCCTGGAAATAATACTTTCAATATTCTAATTATAAGCTAAATTTTTGGGAAATTTTGGTAATTTAACATCTAAGTGTATTTTGAGTCAATATGTTTAAAACTGGACCTAAATCTAAACTGCAAGCAAAAAATCCTTCTCCCCTTATTTTACCAGGCTATCGTATAAGGAAACTGTGAGCTAGGCAAACTACATTCTCAGGATCCTTTTTCTTACAACTTACTGTTTTAGAAGCCTAGGCAAAGCCTTTAAATTTATTTTCTTATCTATAAAATGTGTAATTCAACTTGAAGACTTCTTAAAGTCACTTAGCGACTGAGACTCTCCTGTTCTATGATGTAGATACCACTCTCAAATCTCTTATTGATAAAGACCTACATTATATTCATCTCTACACAGGTCTGCCAGTTTAAAATCTGACACAGTCCGACATTTTAGAGCCTGAAACATGGTGCTCTATTAAGATCGACTTAGCAGATGAATATGGACTCAAATAAAGCCCAGTGAGATACTGGCTCTAAAATCTTGGCTCATCATTTCAAGATGCTATGCCTATAACTCCAAACTTGAATGTAATTAAAAATGAAATGGTCTCATTTTAGCATGGGAGGAAATCAGCTTTCTGGTCAGAAGGAAAGATTTTTCAATCCAGTTTTAATTGCTAATTTTCCTTTGGGGGAGCTTGAAGAGCTACAGTGGTTAAAGGAATAAAATATCAAATAGCAACATTATTCATGAATAATTACCCAGCAGGGGGAGACAGGAAGACTCTAACTTGTATTTTAAGAGGTCTGAATGATTTGAGAGGATACCTATAGTGGGGGACTTATCACCCTTGTGATCTAGGATACAGCAGTAGTCAGTGACAGAAGAGAGGGGGAAATAACCAAATATCATCAAGTCGTGCACGTTGTGTTTTATTTAAGGAAATGTCTCCTTGTGTAGGCAGTGATGTGTTTAAGAGTGAAACGCATTTTTACTTGTTTCTATTTTAAGTGATTGCTTTGACAGGTCTTTGAAGAAAAAAAAATCATTTTCTATCCTGCAGATTCAGTAACTGCCCTTAAATGTCTCATCATGTCACATTTTCAGTGGAAACAACATTGTGATTTGCTTCCATGGTGATCTACCCGTCACTGATGGCTAAAGCTAATGACACTGGGTTGTCAGGATACCATGCCAGGCAGCCACTAATTAATTATTTGTCATAATCTCCCAGGGAGGAAATTACTAATATTATTACTTAGCACATCCTTTGCATTTACACTTGCAGAGTGCTGAAAATTTCATTTGTGGCCCTGAAGAAATAAACATTTGTGCTGTTCTTAGCAGGAAGCAAGAAAGCAGCCCCAAGGGCATCTGTACCCACTGGGTGACATAGTCAGGGCCTCAAGCTCTACATGCAATGGCAGCCTCATAGGTTATGTTGCTTTCAGCTGAAGACTAGAATGACTATGTCAAAGGCATTTTAAATATATTATTCTAATATCCTGAGACTAAAATTAGTAAGCAACCAATTAATTCAATTATAAAACTGCCCCTCAAAAGAACCAAATCTTTTAACATAGTACTTTGACTTGAAAGACATGTTTAACAAGAAGACTTGGAAAGTAATAAATGGGCCCTGGCAATTGTAGGAAAAAACGCCATCTGGTATGAATGAGTCCTTGTATTTGAAGTAAGGACTGTTAAAAGATTGTTTCAACTTACTTGTCAACCAGTTGTCTGTAACTCAGCTGGAGCCTGTCAATGGGTGCTTCATTGGGAAAGAGAAAGTGTTTCTATAATATGACTGATAGACTGAGGTTAATATTTAACCTTAATTTGTAATCAGAATATAATATTTATATTATGATAGATAATAGTAGATAATAGATAAATGATACATGAGACTCTGTACTTCTCTCTTAGCAAGAATCATTGGAAAGTTACCAAGGTTTTAACAAAGTTAATTTGCTACAGATAGCCTACATCTTAATAGTGGACAGGAGTGAGTGTTAGTAAAGGTGATATTAGAGAAATAATATTGGGCAAGGAAGCTTTTGTTAGTCACATTCAAAGGTATCTATATCTTATTTTTTAATTTATTTAAATTTAATTGAAAAATAATTGCTTTACAATATTGGTTTGATTTCTGTCATATATCAACATGAATTAGCCCTAAGTGTGCAATATGTCCCCTGCCTCTTGAACCTCCCTCCCACCTCCCACAAAATGTATATTTCAATTAATTTTTATTGAAGCATAGTTGCTTTACAATGTCATGTCAGCTTCTGTTGTCCAGCAAAGTGAATCAGCTGTACATATACATATATCCCCTCTTTTTTGGATTTCCTTCCCATTTAGTTCACCACAGAGCACTGAGTAGACGTCCCTGGAATATACAGTATTTTCTCATTTGTTATCTATTTTATACATAGTATCAAGAGTGCATATATGTCAATCCCAATCTCCCATTCTCACATGTGGATACCAAGGGGTAAAGGTGGGGGAGTATCCATACTTTAAAATCTACTACATATTTCCTACCTAGTAAGCAGTAAGAGTTGAACAGGTAACCAAGTACAACTGACAATAGGAATTAAATAGTACTCCATTTCACACAATAAGCTACTCATTTTCCAGATAAGAGTATTTCACTTTGTCACTGGCTACAAAACCCTTAGGTCTTCACCCAACAACAAGGGAACACTAGAACACAGCCAGGCATGACTGATTTAAATGAGGTCAGATCACTGTTTAAAATCATTAAGACTGCTGTTTGTCCATGTGTGGCCACTGGTTGTAGTGGACATCAGGTCAAAAATCTCTTGTGTAGGAGGTCTTCAGAGGCTACCACTGGTTGAAAAGGGGTCATGGATGGTAAGGGGCTTATTTAGAAGGTACCTTTGCATACATAGCACTGTTCATCGACTGAGCAAACCCTGTTTTTCTGCTTTAAAACCTGGAAGAGCTGATAGAAATCAAAAATGCCTTGACAACTGAGTGACTGAAATTCTGAATACTCTGAATACTGATGAACTATGCCATAGAAAAGAATTGTGTTTTCAACTCACATCAGTATGGCATATTACACATATGGCATAATTGGAACTGCTTTTCAGCCCAATTACAAATGCTCATTTTTCACTTACACAGAAAATACACAACCTGGAAATCTAGAATCTTTTCTTTTTTGACGTGTCACTCTGCAAATATAATCTCCTTTAAGCCTAGGAGTCTATAGGAGATATATTTGGCCTCATTTTAGGAAGATAAGCGGGAGACAACATAATTTATGAGCTGAACTAGTGGAAGGGTGCTGAGTCAGGTTTTGTTAAACTAATCTTATGGCTGGCAAGGATGACATGTCAGGTGTTTAATCCATTTAAAATACCAAGCCATTTTCATAAATCATTTTTATAACTTTAAATACATTATATAGGTACATAAACAATAGACAGTGTGTTTGAATGTGCCAAACACATCTGTTTCCTTCACTACATACTGTGTTTCTCATTTCATTTTCCGAAGATGTATTGATTTATCAGATTATTTTTTATGGGCTGATCCATACTTTAGTTTTATCCATGTCATATTCTCTATTGGTGCTGTTATGCTTCTTGAGTTTTTCCTTGTGCATATATATTCGCCCTATGTGAATATCACCATAGCATCTCTCTCCTCCTTTTTGCACAAAAAACAAAAAGAATCTTCTTTTTTAAAATATATTTGTCACTGTAGTCCAGGTAGAAAAAGCACACAGGATGCATTTGGGTCTATTTAGCATAAAAACTTCATCTGAAACTTCCATATGATATAAGATAATGTGTTGTATTTCAGGATATCTAAGGTTGAGTTTCTTTACTGTGTGAATGCTATACTATTTTCTTTTCTCCCCTAACTCCTTGCCCCCCTCCCTGTTTAACAGCAGACAAACCCAGGGAGCACTGAATGAATCTGACGATCCTGAAACAGGCTGTCTAACTGATAACAAGCCAACTTCTCGACACTTCTATCCTGTCGCCTTGCTGCTTGTCAGCTCACACCTGCTAGTTGTGTGGCTTATTTTAAGTCTTGCATTACTTTTAGCCAAATACCAATAAGTTTTATGTTGCATTCCTTTCTTTTCTACAACTGACAATGGACTTTAAATTATGGGGACAATGCTGTAATTTCTACATTTTCAGATTCACAGAATTTAAAAAAAAAAATAACAAGCAAATGTTTGAATTGTGTTTTATTTGTTTTTCCTAAAAGCTAAGAGAAAAGAAGTACTATGCATTAAGTGAATTATTTCGCTCTTTTGTTCACGGAAAAGCATTTCCCAACTGTTAACTAGCTCAAGAAGAATTTTTAAATTCCTGTCTTTGGAATAAGACAAAGAACAGAATCCTGAAAGCTTGAAGTTCTGCACCTCCTGTTCCTCTTCCCATTTCCGTTTATTTAAAGAAATTAAGACTGAGTTTGCACAACACCCGGGAACCCTGAGATAAGTCCTACAGATGTGGGAGGTTCCTTCCATCCAGACTCGATTTCCACTGTGCTGATCTCATTGTCGCCGTCAGCTGATAGAACCCTCTGTTGGATTTCTTAACCTGTTAGTTCTGTGATTTCTTTGCTGCAATTAACCTTTTTTCTGTCAAGTAACTTTCTGGAGAGAATGGCTGTTTCTGTTTTGTAATTAAATGAATCCATTTGTAACTATGGTTTGGGTTGGTTTGGCGCTCACTGTACTTTTCTATTCTTTTTAACCAAGTCTTGTTTGCGTCTCGATGCCCCATTTTCAGCACCTGTGACTTTTGTACTATCTGTCCACAAGCACTCCTCTTGATAAAGCTGAGACTTGGACCAGGCTGTTTGGAAAGCCATTTTCCTCCTCGTTGCACAGCTAAAATAATGCAGTCAAATAGAGATGAAACTTTCCTTTAAAAATCTATAGGGCCAGACTTAATTAAATGCCTTATTCCTAGAACCTACATCCTTAGGGCTACGTGTAGATGTTCATGTGTTTTAAAGAGACTGAGAAATTCATTTGTGGAAAAGTTATAAAAAGACAGATATATTTATGAACTGAAAATGAAGCTGTATCGTGGATCAAATTATATTTAAAGAGTTTATTAAACCTTAAATATATGTTAAGAGCAAAGGGACTCTACTCATCTTTTTTCCGAGGGCAATAATGGTATTGGGCCTGGCCTAGGATTTAATTTTGTAAGATGTATCATCACTTGTGAAAAAAAAAAAATGTAGAGTTGAATCTTTGTTATTTTTACTTGGACTGTTGCTGCAACTCTGCATTGAACAAATAAAGCATATTTATTTATTCTGTGTTTCATGAAGTTGTGCTTTTTCCCCTTTCACCAGAGAAGGATGCCGCATAGAAAATGTACTGAAGAATATCAAATGCAGGAAGTATGCTTTCAACATGCTACAGCTGATGGCTTTCCCCAAGTACTACAGACCTCCAGAGGGGACTTATGGAAAAGCTGACACCTAAGTTTACCAACATGTAAATAAACAGGAACACAAATACGCTTCCGTTGGAAAATCTCCACTGTTTTTCTGTTTTCATTGTCATGAATCTGTGGAGGGAGGTGATCAGGAATGTTCACCCAAATCTAGGAATTACTTGAATTAGTTATCAGCATATGACTCTGAAAGAAATCCATTAAACAAATCTTAAATCATATTGTGTTTCTAGTGCCAAGCTTCTATGTATTGATCCTCGCTGGTTGAGATCAGTTCAAAAAGTGTACATTTCATTCATGGGATTTTTAATGAAAGACGTTCTGAGAACACCTAAGTTGCTTCAGGGGCCCTGGAGGTGATTCAGAGAGTGGCATTCTCCACTCCAAAGCGATGATAGGAGAGTGTCTAGGGGAGAGAGGCTTTGAGATATCCCCCATCCTTTCTCATATACAACCTGAAAGCCCATTTGCGGGCTTTAAAAATATTTTTCTAGTGAATGGAAATTAGGAAGTGTTAGCTTGTGGATACCTAACCAAGATACCTGTTGAACCTGACTACAGAAGCAGTTCCTATGTGCTTGTAAAGACTGTCATCCTGTGAAGGTGTGACTGGTCCTCCTAAAAATGTTGATGGACAGTGTTAATAAAGCAATAAAAATACTTTTTGAAAACATGGTATCTTTTCAAAACTCTGACTTGGATTGATTTGCCCCATCAGCCTAAACTTCATGCAGTTAAGCTCATGAAAGACTGTCAAATGTCTTTGAGGTGTTTTCTAGCATTTATCTTAATATGTATCGATCAATGATGTAAGTATGCACTGCCTGGCATAGATTAGTATATGTGAATGAACCTTTTAAAACTTATGCTACCGTAATTAATGATAAACCAAAATAATTATTTCTCCTAAACTGAATTTCAAATTTGCCCTTACTTGGTAAAATAACACCATGAGTTTCCTAAAACTACAAGTCAGAAATTGCCTTAGAGATCATCATGTATAACATTATAAATATTATAAATGGCTAAACTAAAGTACAAGGAAGCTGTGTCCCCAGTTACTTAGCTAGATGATTTTAGAACCCTGGTTACAATCCCTTCTTACCTTGTAGGTTGTGGTTTATCCGATCTGTGAATTGCCACCCTAAATATATACATGAAAATTTGGGAAGGATACTGGTTAAATAGGCCTTGGCATGTATTGCTATAATTGAAACTTAGAGTACAAAGGTCTAAATAAATGACATTTATTAAGAATTTATATGTTTTCTTTTCTCATCAGAGGAGCTGGCGATCCAGAGCATCAGTCTCCCTTGGAAATGCCAAAGACTTGGTACATAGACACCTCTTAGCAATGACCACATTCAACAAATCATCTGTAGCTTTCCTAGCTGATATGATAGCTCCTCAACCAAGACACCTATTGAAATAAAGATTCCAAGCAGATCTCCAGGCTCATGTTGGGCTTTTTAAATTGCTGCAATTTTAGATAACCCTCTGGGGCTTTTAATGCTAGAATTGTCTATCTGTTATTTTAGTTAAGGACTTGTGGGCATTATACTTGAGGCAGTTGTCAAAATATTTACTGTGTTTTTCATGAAATGATGCTGTGTGCTGTGGATCTATTCATGGACAGGTTATCTTGTTCTCCTTTATACCTCATTCTCAATTTCACTGAGTAAATATAATCTTCGAATTGTTCAGTTTCATTTAAAAATGGTAGGGTTTGTGGTTATTTTCATTATCCCACTGGATTTAAGGTAAAGTGGTTGGTATGACAGTGATTCCCTTGAGTAACCATGAAGCCACATTCAGTATATCAGATGGCAGTCTTGAGTTCCAAGATACCTTAAGTGATTTATATCTTGTAAATAGTCTTATGAACAATAGTTTTGTTCTTATTTTTAAAAATGAAACCTCTTGATTCAAATATGGAAAAAAATATTTATTAACCAGAAAACCAACTGTAGGGTTTTCTATTTGTGGAAGACATTTCAAAGTTTTGTGTTTTTTTTTTTTTCTTTTCTATGAAGTACTATTATAGAAGTTCTCAAAGAATAGAACTTACTGTAATACGAATGAAGGTAATGTACTTTCTCGTTTATTATTAACATAGTTTTCTGTATTCCTCTAATGGAAACCTGTATTTGTTCATGTTCTAAAAGTAGATTTCATCAAGGAAATGTTTTTTCATAGCTATAATAATGTCACCCCTTTCCTGAAAGATATTTCAAGTATGCTTGGAAAACTACTTCATTATTTCTTAAGTTACTAAACCTTTCTAAATCAAAGAGGAAATGTTATACAAAAAATTTTAAAATCTCTTGTGTACAAACACAGGCTAAGTCATGCTTCTCTGTTTCCATTTTCATTTAAAAGATGCACCAGTCATTCTATTTGAAGAGATCACATTGAGTCAGACACTGAACCAAGAAAACATTTCCAAACAAGATAATTTTTTTGCTCAGAAACATGTTTGCCCTCTGATGTCATCAAAAGTAGTTAATACTTCAGTATTAGCTATTTACAAAGTCCTACAGAAAACATACTTAAAAACAAGGGAAAATGCAATCCTAGTTATGTTTGACCCAGTGACCTAAGATCCAGAGCCTGAAAAATGTTCTGCAGAATAGCTCAATGTAAAAGTTTGAAATATTTTATTGAAGCAGACCCATATTTTAGATGTACCCTTGCATTTATTTCTTGTGTGGTTGTTTCTTTCTTGTCAGTATTAACTTGGGTTTTGTCAACACTCTGCCCAAACAATCCTTTGATGTAAACAGTTTGGTCAACCCAGTAATCCCATGTGTCAGAGCAAATATTTGATCCTGCTGACAGATTGTACTGAAATGACCAGCTGCCCAGTGGGAGCAGGACACCAGGTAACTAAGCTCCAGTCTTTACTTTATAAGACTATGACCTCTTGTTCTGAGGATGTGAGGTCTTAAAAGCAAGCATCTGGGTGGGAGATACGTCCCTTTTTTTTCTCTCAACTAAGTATGGTGTTTTGCCTAGAATAAGACAGTGGGAGAGAAGAAGATTCATGCTTTTCTTCCCAAGCAAATCCAGTCCCCTCCTATGTAAAGTTTGCTAGGTGCTGAGAATAGGATAATAGTGGTGTGCTAGAAACTGGCTGGTGCTGACTCACGAGCTTGACCATTAAATCCTGTAGGCCGGTTTTCAAAACACAACCATCATTAAATATTAAATTACAGAACACAATTGAATAAATCTTATTAAAAATGATAATCAAAGCTTAATGCAGCCTAATTATTTTACTATATTGTACTGTTTATATCTGCTGCTGAGGTTATTTATGCCAATTGTATCAGTGGAAACATGATGTTTATAATGTGCTAACTGGGCCTCACTTCCTGACTCCGCATGCAGTAACATCACATAGGTAGCTTGAAATTGACCATGGTGGGTGTTACACCCTGGAAACTGCCAAATGCTACCAACCCATACTTTGAATTCCTGGAAAACCACGTGTTAAACATTGACCAGTGCAAAACTGGATACCTCCTTCACTTTTTCTCCAGAAAATAATCACTACTTGGAAGCAGTATTAAATTTTTAAAATGATACTAAGTGCAGTCACCCTCAGAGGGCTACAGTTTTGACTTGGCTTATGC